TGATTCATGGTTTGAGCTTAATGAATGTTAAAGGGAATTGATGATCTGAAGGTGTGTGTAGATTGGAACAAATGTTAGGTTGTCTTGTGATGAATATGGCTAAAGTTTTTGAGTAGAGTATGGTCTCTATGCATTCCACAACTACTAACTTGGACATTGAGTTCATTTGCTTTGTTTGCATGGTTAGCGTTTTTGGAGTCAAATATGACTAGAAATCGTGTGTATGATTGGGTATAAGAACTAGAACCGCAACCGGATCCCGTAAGCTAAAGTAATTTTTTTTCCGTTTAGAAGCTCCAAAACCAAAAACTCAAAGGACTTCAGCCACACCCACAAAGGTTTGAAAGGTAATAAGAAGCTTGGTTAGTGTTTTTGGAGTCAAATATGACTAGATCTCGTGTGTATGATAGGGTATAAGAACTAGAACCGCAAACGGATCCCGTAAGCAAAAGTTGTGTTTTTTCGTTTAGAAGCTCCATGATAAGTCTGTATTTTACTTGTTTTGAGCATTCATTTGTCATCACTTTAGCATCATTTCATCACTGTTTCATACCATTCTTCATCATTTGTCATCACTTTGCATGATTAGGATAATTCTGCATACATGTTGCATTCTTGAGTTGTTTTCAGGTGATTCGGAGCTGTTGGGAAGCAAATTGGAAGAAGTGGATCAGCACCCACGAGGTCGAATGTCTCTGTAAACCGCCTTAATACTTTGTCGTTTTGTGATTTAGGGTTTACTAGGATTTACTATAAATAGGTTGTTTCTCATAATTTTTGTAACTAAGCTTTTATCCAGTAGACAATTAGTTTATTTTCAGAATTTTGTAATCCAAATTCCTCTTAATCTATTCAGTATTTGCATTTGATTTCTTCTACAAAGTTGTTTATCTTGTTGAGATCTTGCTATTATGAAGTTTTTGTGCATTTCTGGGTTTGTGTTCTTGGTGATGAATTCTGAGTAGTGATTAGGGTTCTTGAAGATGGGTTAGGGTGGTTTAGAATCCTTAATCTGCTAGGTGGTTGAGTTTGATTGGTAGATCCCTTCTAGATTAGTTGTTCTTAATGCTGATTGCTTTCTGATCAACTGGAATCTGAGCCCAGACATTTCCGCACCCAAAAGGTGTTCGATGAAATGTCTGAACCACTAATTCCAGAGATTCGTGGCTCTGCACCAAGGTATTGGTTGCAGAGAGTGTTTTGGCTTTAACTTGTTGATTCGTAATGCCTGTTAGGTTAGCTCTCGTCAATGGTGATTGAGTCTGGGACTAGCTTTGCTTGAGGATCTCTGTTGCGGTAGCACTTTGATTTGGTTATTGAACTCGTTGTCTAGGGATAGATTGTTGAGCATGTTAACCACCTGTTAGATTAAGGAAACTTCACTACTCGATTACCCCATCCTCGGGAATTTCTCTTCCAATTGATTTCTTGTTTGCATCGCTTTTGATTGCTCGATCTTGTTACCTGTTGCTTTGTTTTTGCATTTCTGCTTATTTCATTTGAAGTACTCGACCACACACAGTGGTTTGGAAACGGACTGTGTGGTAGAGTACATTTGTTGCAGTTTCTGTTTGGTACTCGACCTGATACTCGACCACATCCAGTGCTTGGCATCAAGCTCTGTGATCGAGTATATTGCCTGTTTCTGTTAGAATTTCTGTTTTTGCATGATCACCTAGGACTGTTAGAAACACCAAAACCTGTTATTGCTTGGCTTGACTCTGTGAAATCTGATTGCATCTTGATTGCTAGCATCACACCCATTTGGATTGACACCTTAAATACTGCAATGACATGATAGTAATTTAAGGAATTGAGAACTAGTTAAATGCCTGTTATGTTAGCTCTCGTCAATGGTGATTGAGTCTGGGACTAGCTTTGCTTGAGGATCTCTGTTGCGGTAGCACTTTGATTTGGTTATTGAACTCGTTGTCTAGGGATAGATTGTTGAGCATGTTAACCACCTGTTAGATTAAGGAGACTTCACTACTCGATTACCCCATCCTCGGGAATTTCTCTTCCAATTGATTTCTTGTTTGCATCGCTTTTGATTGCTCGATCTTGTTACCTGTTGCATTGTTTTTGCATTTCTGCTTATTTCATTTGAAGTACTCGACCACACACAGTGGTTTGGAAACGGACTGTGTGGTAGAGTACATTTGTTGCAGTTTCTGTTTGGTACTCGACCTGATCAGAATAAAGCTATACATACCTCTATACCCTTCTCACGGTTAAGTCTCTGACATTGCTCTTCCACGGATCAGAATGCTTCTAGATATCGCGAGCAATGGAAATTTCCAAAACAAGGATGTTGCTGAAGGCTGGGAATTGGTTGAAAACTTAGCTCAGTCAGATGGTAATTACAACGAGGACTGCGACAGGACCAACAGAGGAACAGTTGACTCGGATGATAAACACAAGAAAGAGATGAAGGCTCTTAATGAGAAATTGGATAAGATTCTCCTTGGCCAGCAGAAGCATGTGCACTTCCTAGTTGATGACGACCAGTATCAAGTCCAAGATGGGGAGGGGAACCAGTTAGAAGAGGTCAGCTACATCAACAATCAAGGTGGCTACAAAGGTTATAACAACTTCAAGACTAACAACCCCAACCTTTCTTACCGCAGCACCAACGTTGCTAATCCACAGGATCAAGTGTATCCTCCACAACAACAACAGGGTCAGAATAAACCTTTTGTTCCCTACAACCAAGGTTTTGCTCCCAAGCAACAATTTCAAGGGAACTACCAACAGCAACCACCACCTGGGTTTGCCCCTCAGCAACACCAAGGTCCTGCTGTTCCTGATTCTGACATGAAGCAAATGCTACAACAGCTTCTCCAAGGACAAGCATCTGGCTCCATGGAGATTGCTAAGAAGATATCTGAATTACACAATAAGCTGGACTGTAGCTACAATGACTTAAATGTCAAAGTGGAGGCACTGAATTCCAAAGTCCGATACTTGGAAGAACAATCTGCTTCTACTTCTGCTCCAAAACCTACAGGCCAACTTCCAGGAAAAAGCAATTCAGAATCCAAAAGACTATGCTCAGGCTCATGCTATCACCCTGCGCAGTGGTAAAGAACTTCCTACCAGAGAGGGACCTAAGCCAGCCACTGAGGACAGTGCAGACCAAGATGGGGAGGATTTCAGTCTCAATGAAGATCAAGCTAAGAAGCCAACTGATGTACTCGACCCTCTACTCGACCGTGTTACTCGACCACCAACTCCAGTAACATCATCTGCTGCTCTTAAACCAGTTGCAACTAAGAACAAGGAGGAGGTTTTTGTTCCTCCTCCTTACAAGCCCCCACTTCCATTCCCTGGTCGACACAAGAAAGCGTTGACAGATAAGTATAGAGCTATGTTTGCCAAGAACATCAAAGAAGTAGAATTAAGGATACCTCTTGTTGATGCTCTCGCACTTATTCCGGATTCCCACAAGTTTCTGAAAGACTTGATCATGGAGAGAATTCAAGAAGTTCAAGGAATGGTAGTGCTGAGCCATGAATGCAGTGCTATTATACAAAAGAAGATCATTCCAAAGAAGCTTGGTGATCCTGGCTCATTCACTCTACCGTGTTCATTAGGTCCTTTATCATTCAACAGATGCCTCTGTGATCTAGGCGCATCAGTGAGCCTCATGCCTCTCTCAGTTGCAAAAAGACTTGGTTTCAGCAAATACAAAGCTTGCAATATCTCTCTGATTCTAGCAGACAGATCCATCAGAATACCTCATGGCCTGCTTGAAGACTTACCAATCAAGATCGGAGTCGTAGAGATACCTACTGATTTTGTAGTGCTTGAGATGGATGAAGAACCAAAGGACCCTTTGATTCTGGGAAGACCTTTCTTGGCAACTGCTGGAGCTATCATTGATGTCAAGAAAGGGAAGATCGATCTGAACCTTGGTAAAGACCTTAAAATGACCTTTGACATAAAGGATGCAATGAAGAAGCCGACTATAGAAGGGCAACTCTTTTGGATTGAAGAAATGGATCAGTTAGCTGATGAGTTACTGGAAGAACTAGCAGAAGAAGATCACCTTAAGAGTGCATTAACCAAGAATGGTGAAGATGGGTTTCTACACTTAGAGACTTTGGGTTATCAGAAGTTGTTGGACTCACACAAAGCAGTGGAATAGTCAGAATCCTTTGAGGAATTGAATGGGTCAGCAACAGAAGTAATGGCAGTGAATGAAGAAGGTTCAACTCAGGCTCAACCTGCTCACTCGAGGACCTACTCAACTGAACACTCGACCACAACAGTTGACATCCCTGCGGAGCTGATCATTCCAACATCAGACGACTGGTCTGAACTCAAAGCACCAAAAGTTGAACTTAAGCCGCTTCCCAAAGGGCTCAGGTATGCATTTCTAGGTAACAACTCTACATATCCTGTCATTGTGAATGATGCATTAACTAATGAACAAGTGCATCTTCTGTTAACTGAACTGAAAAAGTATAGAAGAGCCATTGGTTATTCACTTGATGATATAAAGGGCATTTCACCTAGTTTATGCACGCATCGCATTCATCTTGAAAATGAATCTTATTCAAGCATTGAACCCCAAAGAAGGTTGAATCCTAACTTAAAAGAAGTTGTTAAGAAGGAGATACTCAAACTATTGGAAGCAGGTGTAATTTACCCTATTTTCGATAGCACTTGGGTATCTCCAGTTCATTGTGTCCCAAAGAAAGGAGGTATGACTGTTGTAAAAAATGATAAAGATGAGCTGATACCTACTAGAACTATAACTGGACATAGAATGTGCATTGACTATAGGAAGTTGAACTCTGCATCTAGGAAAGATCATTTTCCACTTCCATTCATTGATCAAATGCTAGAAAGGTTAGCTAATCACCCATACTATTGCTTTATTGATGGTTATAGTGGTTTCTTTCAAATACCAATTCACCCTAATGATCAAGAGAAAACTACATTCACATGTCCATATGGAACCTTTGCATATAAAAGAATGCCTTTTGGTCTCTGTAATGCACCAGCTACATTTCAGCGGTGCATGACTTCTATCTTCTCGGATTTAATTGAGGAGATGGTTGAGGTATTCATGGATGACTTTTCCGTGTATGGCTCCTCCTTCTCCTCTTGTTTGTCAAACTTGTGCAGGGTACTTTCTAGGTGTGAGGAGACAAACTTGGTACTCAACTGGGAAAAATGCCATTTCATGGTTAAAGAAGGCATTGTATTGGGGCACAAAATTTCAGAGAAGGGTATAGAGGTTGACAGAGCAAAGATTGAGGTTATGGTGCAGCTGCAGCCACCAAGGAGTGTCAAAGATGTGAGAAGTTTTCTGGGACATGCTGGGTTTTATAGAAGGTTTATCAAGGATTTCTCCAAGCTTGCAAGACCAATGACAAGGCTGCTGTGTAAGGAAACAGAGTTTGATTTTGATGAGGAATGCCTGAAATCTTTTCAACTCATCAAGGAAGCTATGATTTCAGCTCCAATAGTCCAAGCTCCAAACTGGGACTATCCATTCGAAATCATGTGTGACGCTTCGGATTACGCTGTAGGAGCAGTCTTGGGACAAAAGATTGACAAGAAGCTCCATGTCATCTACTACGCAAGTAGAACAATGGATGATGCTCAGGTGAAGTATGCCAGAACAGAGAAGGAGTTATTAGCAGTTGTTTTTGCATTTCTGCTTATTTCATTTGAAGTACTCGACCACACACAGTGGTTTAGAAACGGACTGTGTGGTAGAGTACATTTGTTGCAGTTTCTGTTTGGTACTCGACCTGATACTCGACCACATCCAGTGCTTGGCATCAAGCTGTGTGATCGAGTATATTGCATGTTTCTGTTAGAATTTCTGTTTTTGCATGATCACCTAGGACTGTTAGAAACACCAAAACCTGTTATTGCTTGGCTTGACTCTGTGAAATCTGATTGCATCTTGATTGCTAGCATCACACCCATTTGGATTGACACCTTAAATACTGCAATGACATGATAGTAATTTAAGGAATTGAGAACTAGTTAAAATCTTACTATCACTCCAAAACCGAAAACTTACAGGACTTCGGTCATACCCACAAAGCTCTTAGAGGCAATAAGAAGATTGGTTAGTGTTTTTGGAGTCAAATATGACTAGAAATCGTGTGTATGATTGGGTATAAGAACTAGAACCGCAACCGGATACCGTAAGCTAAAGTAATGTGTTTTCCGTTTAGAAGCTCCAAAACCAAAAACTCATAGGACTTCGGCCACACCGACAAAACTTTGAAAGGCAATAAGAAGCTTGGTTAGTGTTTTTGGAGTCAAATATGACTAGATCTCGTGTGTATGATAGGGTATAAGAACTAGAACCGCAACCGGATCTCGTAAGCCAAAGTAGTGTTTTTCCGTTTAGAAGATCCAAAACCGAAAACTCATAGAACTTCGGCCACACCCACAAAGCTTTGAGAGGCAATAAGAAGCTTGGTTAGTGTTTTTGGAGTCAAATATGACTAGATCACGTGTGTATGATTGGGTATAAGAACTAGAACCACAACCGGATCCAGTAAGCTAAAGTAGTGTTTTTCAGTTTAGAAGCTCCAAACAGAAAACTCATAGGACTTCGGCCATACCCACAATGCTTTGAAAGGCAATAAAAAGCTTGGTTAGTGTTTTTAGTGTCAAATATGACTAGATCTCGTGTGTATGATTGGGTATAAGAACTAGAACCGCAAACGGATCCCGTAAGCAAAAGTTATGTTTTTTCGTTTAGAAGCTCCAAAACCGAAAACTTATAGGACTTCAGTCATACCCACAAAGCTTTGAGAGGCAATAAGAAGCTTGGTTAGTGTTTTTGGAGTCAAATATGACTAGAAATCGTGTGTATGATTGGGTATAAGAACTAGAACCGCAAACGGATCCCGTAAGCAAAAGTTATGTGTGACGCTTCGGATTACGCTGTAGGAGCAGTCTTGGGACAAAAGATTGACAAGAAGCTCCATGTCATCTACTACGCAAGTAGAACAATGGATGATGCTCAGGTGAAGTATGCCAGAACAGAGAAGGAGTTATTAGCAGTTGTTTTTGCATTTCTGCTTATTTCATTTGAAGTACTCGACCACACACAGTGGTTTAGAAACGGACTGTGTGGTAGAGTACATTTGTTGCAGTTTCTGTTTGGTACTCGACCTGATACTCGACCACATCCAGTGCTTGGCATCAAGCTGTGTGATCGAGTATATTGCATGTTTCTGTTAGAATTTCTGTTTTTGCATGATCACCTAGGACTGTTAGAAACACCAAAACCTGTTATTGCTTGGCTTGACTCTGTGAAATCTGATTGCATCTTGATTGCTAGCATCACACCCATTTGGATTGACACCTTAAATACTGCAATGACATGATAGTAATTTAAGGAATTGAGAACTAGTTAAAATCTTACTATCACTCCAAAACCGAAAACTTACAGGACTTCGGTCATACCCACAAAGCTCTTAGAGGCAATAAGAAGATTGGTTAGTGTTTTTGGAGTCAAATATGACTAGAAATCGTGTGTATGATTGGGTATAAGAACTAGAACCGCAACCGGATACCGTAAGCTAAAGTAATGTGTTTTCCGTTTAGAAGCTCCAAAACCAAAAACTCATAGGACTTCGGCCACACCGACAAAACTTTGAAAGGCAATAAGAAGCTTGGTTAGTGTTTTTGGAGTCAAATATGACTAGATCTCGTGTGTATGATAGGGTATAAGAACTAGAACCGCAACCGGATCTCGTAAGCCAAAGTAGTGTTTTTCCGTTTAGAAGATCCAAAACCGAAAACTCATAGAACTTCGGCCACACCCACAAAGCTTTGAGAGGCAATAAGAAGCTTGGTTAGTGTTTTTGGAGTCAAATATGACTAGATCACGTGTGTATGATTGGGTATAAGAACTAGAACCACAACCGGATCCAGTAAGCTAAAGTAGTGTTTTTCAGTTTAGAAGCTCCAAAACAGAAAACTCATAGGACTTCGGCCATACCCACAATGCTTTGAAAGGCAATAAAAAGCTTGGTTAGTGTTTTTAGTGTCAAATATGACTAGATCTCGTGTGTATGATTGGGTATAAGAACTAGAACCGCAAACGGATCCCGTAAGCAAAAGTTATGTTTTTTCGTTTAGATGCTCCAAAACCGAAAACTTATAGGACTTCAGTCATACCCACAAAGCTTTGAGAGGCAATAAGAAGCTTGGTTAGTGTTTTTGGAGTCAAATATGACTAGAAATCGTGTGTATGATTGGGTATAAGAACTAGAACCGCAAACGGATCCCGTAAGGAAAAGTTATGTTTTTTCGTTTAGAAGCTCCAAAACCGAAAACTTATAGGACTTCAGTCATACCCACAAAGCTTTGAGAGGCAATAAGAAGCTTGGTTAGTGTTTTTGGAGTCAAATATGACTAGATCTCGTGTGTATGATAGGGTATAAGAACTAGAACCGCAAACGGATCCCGTAAGCAAAAGTTATGTTTTTTCGTTTAGAAGCTCCAAAACCGAAAACTTATAGGACTTCAGTCATACCCACAAAGCTTTGAGAGGCAATAAGAAGCTTGGTTAGTGTTTTTGGAGTCAAATATGACTAGAAATCGTGTGTATGATTGGGTATAAGAACTAGAACCGCAACCGGATACCGTAAGCTAAAGAAGTATTTTTCAGTTTAGAAGCTGCAAAACAGAAAACTCATAGGACTTCGGCCATACCCACAATGCTTTGAAAGGCAATAAAAAGCTTGGTTAGTGTTTTTAAAGTCAAATATGACTAGATCTCGTGTATATGATTGGGTATAAGAACTAGAACCGCAACCGGATCCCGTAAGCTAAAGTAGTGTTTTTCTGTTTAGAAGCTCCAAAACCAAAAACTCATAGGAATTCGGCCTTACCCACAAAGCTTTGAGAGGCAATAAAAAGCTTGGTTAGCGTTTTTGGAGTCAAATATGACTAGAAATCGTGTGTATGATTGGGTATAAAAACTAGAACCGCAACCGGATCCCGTAAGCTAAAGTAATTTTTTTTCCGCTTAGAAGCTCCAAAACCAAAAACTCAAAGGACTTCAGCCACACCCACAAAGGTTTGAAAGGTAATAAGAAGCTTGGTTAGTGTTTTTGGAGTCAAATATGACTAGATCTCGTGTGTATGATAGGGTATAAGAACTAGAACCGCAAACGGATCCCGTAAGCAAAAGTTGTGTTTTTTCGTTTAGAAGCTCTAAAACCGAAAACTTACAGGACTTCGGTCATACCCACAAAGCTCTTAGAGGCAATAAGAATATTGGTTAGTGTTTTTGGAGTCAAATATGACTAGAAATCGTGTGTATGATTGGGTATAAGAACTAGAACCGCAACCGGATACCGTAAGCTAAAGTAGTGTTTTTCTGTTTAGAAGCTCCAAAACCAAAAACTCATAGGAATTCGGCCTTACCCACAAAGCTTTGAGAGGCAATAAAAAGCTTGGTTAGCGTTTTTGGAGTCAAATATGACTAGAAATCGTGTGTATGATTGGGTATAAGAACTAGAACCGCAACCGGATCCCGTAAGCTAAAGTAATTTTTTTTCCGCTTAGAAGCTCCAAAACCAAAAACTCAAAGGACTTCAGCCACACCCACAAAGGTTTGAAAGGTAATAAGAAGCTTGGTTAGTGTTTTTGGAGTCAAATATGACTAGGTCTCGTGTGTATGATAGGGTATAAGAACTAGAACCGCAAACGGATCCCGTAAGCAAAAGTTGTGTTTTTTCGTTTAGAAGCTCTAAAACCGAAAACTTACAGGACTTCGGTCATACCCACAAAGCTCTTAGAGGCAATAAGAATATTGGTTAGTGTTTTTGGAGTCAAATATGACTAGAAATTGTGTGTATGATTGGGTATAAGAACTAGAACCGCAACCGGATACCGTAAGCTAAAGTAATGTGTTTTCCGTTTAGAAGCTCCAAAACCAAAAACTCATAGGACTTCGGCCACACCCACAAAACTTTGAAAGGCAATAAGAAGCTTGGTTAGTGTTTTTGGAGTTAAATATGACTAGATCTCGTGTGTATGATATGGTATAAGAACTAGAACCGCAACCGGATCTCGTGAGCCAAAGTAGTGTTTTTCCGTTTAGAAGATCCAAAACCGAAAACTCATAGAACTTCGGCCACACCCACAAAGCTTTGAGAGGCAATAAGAAGCTTGTTTAGTGTTTTTGGAGTCAAATATGACTAGATCACGTGTGTATGATTGGGTATAAGAACTAGAACCGCAACCGGATCCAGTAAGCTAAAGTAGTGTTTTTCAGTTTAGAAGCTCCAAAACAGAAAACTCATAGGACTTCGGCCACACCCACAATGCTTTAAAAGGCAATAAGAAGCTTGGTTAGTGTTTTTATAGTCAAATATGACTAGATCTCGTGTGTATGATAGGGTATAAGAACTAGAACCGCAACCGGATCCCGTAAGCTAAAGTAGTGTTTTTCCGTTTAGAAGATCCAAAACTTGAAAACTCATAGAACTTCGACCACACCCACAAAGCTTTGAGAGGCAATAAGAAGCTTGGTTATTATCAATTTGGCGCCGTTGCCATTTGGGTGTTTGTTTGTTACATTTGAGATTTCAGACTTGCTTAGATCAAGTTCCATTTCAATTTTCACTCCGGTTACTAACTTAGTGTTTTTCTTATTGTCTTCTTGATCCAGGTATAACTCTACTGTATGCAAACTAGATCAAAAGGCAATCAGAATCTTCTTTTCAACGACAACATCAACCGTTTAACAAGAGAACTACGGGAAAGAAGAGACACTATAGATCTTGAACACAACCATCCTCTCAGAATGGCTGATGAACAAGATAACCACAATCTACCTGCAAACATTGGTGCTGGAGATGCACCAAGGAATCACCATCAGAGGCAAGGGATTGTTCCTTCTACTGTCCAAAACAACAACTTCGAGATTAAAAGTGGTCTCATCTCGATGATTCAGGGAAACAAGTTCCATGGTCTGCCTATGGAAGACCCACTCGACCACTTAGACGAATTTGATAGGCTCTGCAGTCTAACAAAAATCAATGGAGTCAGTGAAGATGGATTCAAGCTCCGGTTGTTCCCATTCTCCTTAGGTGACAAAGCACATATCTGGGAAAAGAATCTTCTACCTGGATCCATCACATCCTGGGACGATTGCAAGAAGGCTTTTCTTACAAAATTCTTTTCAAATGCAAGGACTGCTAGACTCCGCAATGAGATTTCCGGTTTTGCACAAAAGAATGGAGAAAGCTTCTGTGAAGCCTGGGAGCGCTTCAAAAGCTATACCAACCAATGCCCTCATCATGGCTTCAGTAAAGCCTCTTTGCTCAGCACCCTTTATAGAGGTGCTCTTCCACGGATCAGAATACTTCTAGATACCGCGAGCAATGGAAATTTCCAAAACAAGGATGTTGCTGAAGGCTGGGAATTGGTTGAGAACTTAGCTCAGTCAGATGGTAATTACAACAAGGACAGCGACAAGACCAACAGAGGAACAATTGACTTAGATGATAAGCACAAGAAAGAGATGAAAGCTCTTAATGAGAAATTGGACAAGATTCTCCTTGGCCAGCAGAAGCATGTGCACTTTCTAGTTGATGACGAGCAGTATCAAGTCCAAGATGGGGAGGGGAACCAGTTAGAAGAGGTCAGCTACATCAACAATCAAGGTGGCTACAAAGGGTACAACAACTTCAAGACTAACAACCCCAACCTTTCTTACCGCAGCACCAACGTTGCTAATCCACAGGATCAAGTGTATCCTCCACTACAAAAGCAGAACCAGAACAAACCTTTTGTTCCTTACAACCAAGGTTTTGTTCCGAAGCAACAATTTCAAGGGAATTACCAATGGCAACCACCACCTGGGTTTGCACCTCAACAACACCAAAGTCCTGCTGCTCCTAATTCCGATATGAAGCAAATGCTACAACAGCTTCTCCAAGGACAAGCATCTGGCTCAATGGAGATCGCTAAGAAGATGGCTGAATTACACCATAAGCTAGATTGTAGCTACAATGACCTGAATGTAAAGGTGGAAGCATTGAGCTCCAAGGTCCGATACTTAGAGGGACAATCTGCATCTACTTCTGCTCCAAAACCTCCAGGACAACTCCCAGGGAAAGCAATTCAGAATCCAAAGGAGTATGCTAATGTTCATGCTATCACCCTAAGGAGTGGAGCCCATACTCGACCCCATACTCGATGGTCATACTCGACCAACAATTCCAGTAACGCCATCCACTACTCTGAAACCAAGTGCTGTTAAAAACAAGGAAAAGGTCTTTGTTCCTCCTTCTTACAAGCCTCCACTCCCATTCCCTGGTCGACACAAGAAAGCGTTGGCAGATAAGTACAGAGCTATGTTTGCAGAAAATATCAAAGACGTTGAAGCCAGGATACCTCTTGTTGATGCTCTCGCGCTTATCCCGGATTCCCAAAAGTTCCTGAAAGACTTGATCAGGGAGAGAATTCAAGAGGTTCAGAGAACAACAGTTCTGAGCCATGAGTGCAGTGCCATCATACAGAAGAAGGTTGTCCTAGAAAAGCAAGGAGACCCTGGTTCATTCACTCTACCATGCTCCCTCGGTTCATTGACTTTTAATAAGTGCCTTTGTGACCTAGGAGCATCAGTAAGTCTCATGCCACTCTCAGTAGCTAAGAGGTTGGGTTTCAACATGTATAAATACTGCAACATCTCCTTGATCTTGGCTGATAGGTCTGTTAGACTACCTCATGGGTTATTAGAAGATTTGCCTATCAAGATTGGAAATGTAGAGGTGCCTACAGACTTCGTAGTGTTGGACATGGATGAAGAACCAAAAGACCCCTTGATCTTAGGAAGGCCCTTCTTGGCTACAGCTGGAGCAATCATAGATGTTAAGCAAGGGAAGATTGATCTTAATCTGGGGAAGAATTTTAAAATGAAGTTAAACATCAATGATGCTATGAAGAAGCCGACAATAGAAGGACAGACCTTCTTAGTTGAGGAAATGGATCGGCTAGCTGATGAACTACTAGTTGAACTTGAAGAAGCAAATAACTTAAAAACTGTTTTGACCAAGAGTGGTAAAGTTGGGTATCTCCATAGTGAGACTTTAAGTTCTGAGAAGTCATTAGATTCACATAAGGCATCAGCTGGGTCAGAGGTCTACAAGGGTTTGATGGGGTCTTATACAAAGGTTATGGGAGCAAATGAAGTAAGTTCAACACATGCTCGACCAACTGTTTCCACCAACAACTCGAAGAAGCCTCCAACTTTCCCTGAGAGCTCATGTTTGACCGAACAACTCGAGCAACAGCTCAAAGCAAGCACTTTGGCATCAGATGATTGGTTAGAATTCAAGGAGAGGTCCAAATGGCAGGACAAAGCCATAAGGGAGTTAGTAGACATTGTAAAAGAGCTGAAGGATCAAATCAAGGATCTCCATGGAAAAGCCAACCAAGTACCACTCAACATCAAGGACGTCCCAAATGATGGAGCCACTACTCTGATCAGCAAAGAAGGATGTGAATTCACATTGGAATTGTTTAGAGAAGAAGCCTATCCTCCTGATCAAAAAGAAGCTTACTTCGAGAAAAGAACCACTGAGTACCCAATTGCAAACCTATCAAGAGAGCCTGCTGAGTATGATGATCACTCTACTCAAGAAGAAGAGGAAACCTCATTTCCTCTCTGCAAACCACCCTAAGCCTAATAAGTGTGAGAAGTCAAGCTAATGACTTAAAACAAGCTCACTTGGGAGGAAGTCCCATGTCTATCCCTGTACATATTTTTACTTTTCTTGTTATTTTTAATGCATTTTGGTAGTGCTTTCAGGAGATAAGCGTCATGAGCTGAGTGAAGTGGATTCTGGCTCTAGTGTGCAACAAAACACTCGACCAAATCCTGCAAGGAGCAAGTGAAGCTGTGCAATCGAGTATGAAGTGGATTCTGGTTCTGAGAGTGCAACAGAATACTCGACCACAAGGAGGCCACATGGTAATGAAGAATTGCAGTCGAGTATGATGTGATTTTTGATCCAAATTTTTCAAAATCAACATCATACTCAACCAACACAAGCCACATGGTGATGAGAAGACGTGGTCGAGTATCAAGAAGGAGAAGGAGCAGAAGCACAACAATAAGACTCATCAATGGCCTAGCTGTACACACAAGCAGGCATTGATGAGCACATTAACTCCTTCTTCAGTTGAGGTAACAACTCCACTTCCCCATTGTGTATACCATCTCATGTCTTCTTTCCTTATTTGTTTGTCCTGAGTACTCTCTTCCAAATTTGGTCACACAGAGGACTGTGTGATTTAAGTTTGGGGGAGGGCTCAAGAAATATCTGATGTGTTTGCTTTGTTCTTGTTTTCAAATTTTTCTTGCATTATACATATTGTCTGCATTCATCTATGTCATTGAAAAAACCCTAAAAATTTGAAAAATTTCTGAAAATGATTTCATAAAAAGAGAGTGTTCATGTAGTTGCATTTTCATTTTAATATTGAGTCTAGAAGGTTTCATATAGGATTGTTGCATATGCATAGGGAATGATGATGAGATAACCTTGTTAGCATGCTCACTTACTGAATGAATTCAATGCCCTCGTTGTTACTTGTTTAATGCTTGTGATAGAACTTGAAGTAAGACAGCACCATATTTGGAATTCACAACTTGACTCACTTGTTTTGATTGAAGCATGCTTGATGTGATTCTCTTCCCTGCCTATTAGAACCTGAATTTGACTTGTAATTATCATGTCTTTGCATTGTTGTTGAACTTGTGGCTACCAATACACACACTTGGATTTTCTTTCACCTTCCACCACTCTTGCTAATCCAAGTAGCTGATTCCCATTATTGGAACAGTTTCCCCTACCCTGAACCTAACCTTTCTTTCAAGCCCTGAATTAATTTGTGTGTGTGTAAGGCCTATTTCCGGATTGAGCTTGGTAGAAAGTGTTAGGTATGAACCGACAAGAATGGTATCCCATGTAGTTCTAGTCCACGCTTTTTGGGCTAGATAGGACTAGGTGGGAGTTTTACTTTGGGTTTGGGAATGTGTTTGAAAAAAAAAAAAAAGAGAAAGAAAGACAAGTGTTATTGTTCTTAGGAGATGGAAGTGAAACAGAAAAAAAAAAATATCATGTTAGTCTAGTAAAGGATTTGGGAAGTTTGAAAATAAAAGAAGTTGGGCTCTGTGCAAAGTAAAAAGAAGGGCAAAAGCCTAGAAATGTCTTAAGTCATGAGATGAAAAGAAGAGCCTTAGTTGTTAAAGAAAGTCCCAATCCGCTAGAAACTCTAAAAGAAAACCTCTCCTTAGAACAAAACCAAAAAGAAAGAATGGGTTGATCCAAAAGTTTATTGAAACATGCCTTGAGTGCAAAGGGTAGAATTAGGATCATTTCTGGGGTTTAGAGATAGGACCATCTATGGGATTTGATATGCTCACTGTTGTTTGGGTAGATGGGGTCTGTTCTTGTATGCATAGGTTGGTTCTAACCTTTAGCATTCTGCTAAAGCTCTGTCCATTCGTGAGAGTTCCCTGTTGCTATTAAAAGTCTGAAACCATTTACAGAGGAACCATCTTTGTTCCTCAGCCTTGTCCCTTAACCAAATGAGTTCTTCAACAATGTTTTGCTTGATTCACGGTTTGAACTTAATGAATGTTAAGGGGAATTGATGATCTGAAGGTGTGTGTAGATTGGAACAAATGTTAGGTTGTCTTGTGATGAATATGGCTAAAGTTTTTGAGTAGAGTTTAGTCTCTATGCATTCCACAACTATTAACTTGGACATTGAGTTCATTTGCTTTGTTTCAATGCTTTGGTTCTGAGTCCCCACTTTCAAACTACTCCTCCAGCTTGTTCTTAATTGTTTGCTTGAGGGCAAGCAAAGACTAATATGACTAGCTCACGTGTGTATGATTAGGTATAAGAACTAGAACCGCAACCGGATCCCGTAAGATAAAGTAGTGTTTTTCGGTTTAGAAGCTCCAAAACAGAAAACTCATAGGACTTCGGCCACACCCACAATGCTTTGAAAGGCAATAAGAAGCTTGGTTAGTGTTTTTAGAGTCAAATATGACCAGATCTCGTGTGTATGATTGGGTATAAGAACTAGAACCGCAACCGGATCCCGTAAGCTAAAGTAGTGTTGTTTAGAAGCTCCAAAACCAAAAACTCATAGGACTTCGGCCATACCCACTAAGCTTTGAGAGGCAATAAAAAGCTTCAATTGTGTTTTTGGAGTCAAATATGACTAGATCTCGTGTGTATGATAGGGTATAAGAACTAGAACCGCAACCGGATCCCGTAAGCTAAAGTAGTGTTTTTCTGTTTAGAAGCTCCAAAACCAAAAACTCATAGGACTTCGGCCACACCCACAATGCTTTAAAAGGCAATAAGAAGCTTGGTTAGTGTTTTTTGAGTCAAATATGACCAGATCTCGTGTGTATGATTGGGTATAAGAACTAAAACCGCAACCGGATCCCGTAATCTAAAGTAGTGTTTTTCTGTTTAGAAGCTCCAAAACCAAAAACTCATAGGACTTCGGCCATACCCACTAAGCTTTGAGAGGCAATAAAAAGCTTCAATTGTGTTTTTCGAGTCAAATATGACTAGATCTCGTGTGTATGATAGGGTATAAGAACTAGAACCGCAACCGGATCCCGTAAGCTAAAGTAGTATTTTTCCGTTTAGAAGCTCCAAAACCAAAAACTCATAGGACTTCGGCCATACCCACAAAACTTTGAGAGGCAATAAGAAGCTTGGTTAGTATTTTTGGAGTCAAATATGACTAGAAATCGTGTGTATGATTGGGTATAAGAATTAGAACCGCAACCGGATCCCGTAAGCTAAAGTAATATTTTTCCGTTTAGAAGCTCCAAAACCAAAAATTCATAGGACTTCGGCCACACCCACAAAACTTTGAAAGGCAATAAGAAGCTTGGTTAGTGTTTTTGGAGTCAAATATGACTAGATCTCGTGTGTATGGTAGGATATAAGAACTAGAACCGCAACCGGATCCCGTAAGCCAATGTAGTGTTTTTCCGTTTAGAAGCTCCAAAACCGAAAACTCATAGAACTTCAGCCACACCCACAAAGCTTTGAGAGGCAATAAGTAGTTTGGTTAGTGATTTTGGAGTCAAATATGACTAGATCACGTGTGTATAATTGGGTATAAGAACTAGAACCGCAACCGGATCTCGTAAGCTAAAGTAGAGTTTTTCAATTTAGAAGCTCCAAAACAGAAAACTCATAGGACTTCGGCCACACCCACAATGCTTCGAAAGGCAATAAGAA